CTACGATTTTTTTTTTTTTTTGGCTTTTTCGTTATAGCTATACAGACGTGCATTATTGTTTTTGTGTATATAGGCTATATATAGCCTACACCTTTCTATATTGTTTGCATCGTTGTGGGGAAATTGTAACAGAGATAAAGACGGGATATTGTAATAGGCCACTGATTATAAAGAATCGCATTATGCAGAAAATGTTCTTTGTTTTGGGGATAAGATAATTATGCTTCTCTTTCAAAGCGTGGTTCTTTATGAAACCAATAAAAAAAGAGCAGAAAATATAAGTTTTGGTATCGTTAAAAAGTAACCATTAATAGCCACGAATAAAGTCTCGTTAACACTTTATTTTACAGTGTCCTTGTTACACATGCTACACGTAGTAGTAATAACTATAAATTATGCATAATTACATCAAACTAACCCTAAACCAAACCATATTGCAAACCCCATAATAAGAACATAGGCTAATAGGCCTACTTAAATGTAGAACACTGTAACTTACTCGGACACCTTAAAATAAAGGGGTACACTTTATTTTAAGGTGTCACTGTTACGTGTAAAGTATACATTAAAGTAGGCTACTGAGTAATATTAATTAACTACATGTGCTTACTATAGGGTAAGGGTAGGGCTGGATTTGGTTGAAGGATAGTTGCATGTAATTATGTTACTACTAATAACAGTAAATTATGCATATGTAACAAGGACATTGTAAAATAAAGTGTCACCAAATAAAGTGTAACCAAAGTCTCTATCTGGTGGTCAATCACTTAGCCTATAACGATGCATTGATGTATTGAGGCTATAACATGATCACAGATCCCTGATCTGTCACATTCAGCCCGTAACGGAGCCTTCGAATGAATCTATTTAAATATCGTACCGACCGGATACTGAATGAGTAATTGAAGCCCTCCCGTAGTACTAGTGATCAATCTCGTGTTGCTCGTAAAGCTGTGAGTCTAGACTGAGGACAGGGATCGGCGGCCGCTTATCTGCGCTCGGCATCACCTGCAAATGATCCACTGAATGGAAGCACAACAAACCCGAAGCACCTCTCTCTTAACGGGACTCCCTTTCGGCAAACGCACCCTTGCATGTCCAGGGTTTCTTTTCATTCCGAGTCAGGAGATATAGCCGCTGGACACCAGAAGATCAGACCAAAATCACTGCGGGACATTGTGGCAAGATAATCCTGTTTGTCAGATAACTTAACTCTGGAGGATAAGCAGTTGTAAGGCAGCGCTGTAATGTTGATACGCTTATTTTTCTGCAATTAATTCAGACATTTAAACGTTATTTTGTTTAGGCTACAATTATATATATATAATTTTTAAATAAATTATAATAAATGTTAAACTTTTAACAGCCTGGGAAATCACAAAAAGATGATTTGTGGCTTTTAATCGATTACATTTGAGACAGTGTTCTGCTATGTGGACAAGCTTTTGGTGGACATATGAATTTAATCTTTTTCTTTCTAAAAATGGAACAAAAATATTGATGACTCATCCTGCACTCCTGTTTTTTTGTCCAATCAAATGCTGCTTAGAATGACTACGCCCCTCCCACAATGCCGGTAAATGACTAGAAAGTATCAAATTCAGATGCCTTCCCTATATATTATGCAAAAATGCATGCTTTTGACATCTAATGTCTGCTCTTTTTAACTTTAGGCGTTGTAGATTGTGTGGTTATAGCACCTGCAGTGCTAACATGGGGATGTAGGCTATATCCAGTAGGCCCATCACGCAATACACAAGAGCGTTCTTTAATAGTGGTGGAGAAATACATTTTCGTCGAATTTAAACAGAAAGTATGAAAATTCCAAAGCTATGTTATGGCATGCCAAAACAAGGCCTTCCACATGTCCCGCTCAAGCTTCCTGTTTAACTAGGAAATACGTAAACACAAAAAAACCTGCCAGTCAGGCGATTTTATAGGGTCTTTATGAAATAAACTGTCTGAAAATCTTGGATTGAGTTATAGAAGTTCTCTATTCAGAATCTAGGAAAATATCACAGCGATTAAATCTAACAGCAAAATCTCACAGCGATATACGAAAATATAGGCTAGCCTAATATTTTACATAGGTTACTGAATTGGAGTAGGCTATGTCTTTTTTCATACATAAATCTTTTCTAGGTTACTATTTAGCCTATAGCTTACTATCTATCAGGTTTCCTCTGCACTGAGGTGTTCTGTGAAAGTGGTGATTCTGTTTGCAAAGACGACAGACTAGTTCAATTAAACAACTAAAGCCTAAACCAAAGCTTATATCCACCAAAACGTATCATTCATTTGCTAGCTTGTAAAAACTAGTCTACTTTGCTTCAGAAAATGCAAATAACTGCATTTATTAGATATGGAATGCAAACGATGCCTCATAGGCTAATTTGAGAACGCATAGTCTTCTATTAAAACATTCTAAAATATATAGAGAATTCTAAATAAATAAATAAATAATTCTAAAATATATATTGGCTATACAAATAGGCATACGAAAATAAATAAATAAATAAATAAATAAATAAATTGGGCATATATTTTATGACTTTTTTATTTGCTAAACTGTGTGTAGATCTGATCCGGATCACACCTCATTAAATCGAATAAAATTAAGAAAGCTTAACTGGATTGAAATAAAACAGCTCTTCTTCTGAATGACTAGGGTTTGGCGACATGCAGCGCATATGATGGTTGCTTTTGGGAGAAATAACGATTCAGATGTCATGGCCAGAGGTCAAAAGCCGCATCTTGTTTCAAATTCCGCCACTAATTTAATAATTTAGGTCTAATTAAATAAACGCACACTTAAGCCAAGTTCATGTGTGTAGAACACATCTTTTAAGTCTTTACTAATTACAACTCTCCCCTGTCTGTCATTTTAATGTGAAATGTCAAAGTATTTAGCTAACCTTTAGTTTATAAATCGAAACCTAAAACACATCTGACTCCAAAACCAAACAACTAATAGCCCACATGTCCCTTTATGGAAATGTCTTGTCATTTCATACATTCAAGCTTAATTTATTCCTTACAATTAATTTAAAACTGTCACAATAGTCCAGCTCAAACCTTTAACGAAATAATCTATATCCAAATATATGTCGAAGCTGACGACATAGGCAAAAGATTCGGAGCTTTTTTTTACCTGTTGTAATTTCACTGCAAAATATTCGGAGTTTTTTTTTTTTACCTGTTGTAATTTCAGTGCAAGAACATAATAATCTAAAATACTAAATTTCGTAGTCTAGCCTATATTATGCGCGTTTAATAAAAACAACTATTGTTAAGGCATATACGAAAGTCAAAGTGGGAATAAATTATTACAATGTAAAAATATTAAGTTTACCGTTGGCTGCACAAAATTCAGCAAAATAACTCGACATTTTTCTTAAAGCACAAACCTAACTTTCATTTATTTATCGTTTTAGCGAAGCAAACATTTCAACAAACAAGCGCTATTTAAATAAAAACCCGTAATATAGGCTTATATAATAATTGTCTGAAATTTGCCATTGCATCTATATTTTAGACATATTCCCACACTGAGAAGTCATTTTGACAATTGTTAATTATTAACAATTTTCATTACATTGTTAAAACATTGTTATTGTAGCTACATCTATAAAACAAAAACTAGAATGCCACCATAAAAACGCGTTTCTTCACAGCCGCGTTTCTTAATTACATTTAGAAAATACGATAAATATTTCAGTGAATCCAAGAGACATTCAGAGAACAGATTTAGCAATCAAATCCATGATTCATTTACTGACAGGACGGAAAGGGCCACAGGGTTCCTCTGTTCCTCTGCCAAAATCACGAGAACGTCTAGATCTCAGATGGTTTCGGATTGGCAAATAACGGAATGGTCTATAAAACAGCTCCCATTCAAGTTGTCACATATACACCCACTTCCATTTCAAAGCCCATCATCTAGAGCTCACATAAAATGCATTCATTTTACTGGACTGAATCTAAAAGCGGCGTTTAAAAAAAAGTCTCAGACAATCCAAGTGACTTTAAGTGATACCCCCCCTAACATTTGAAGATCCAGATTTTGAGTAGAACTGAAGTTCTTATGAAACTGGAAGGGAGTCTGACCCAGAGGCTCCAGTGCATGTTGACACAGTCATGCATTGAGTGAGCTGCAGTGAGTCACACAGGTAGAAAAGACAGTAGTGTGTGTGAGAGAAGGATGGGATGGAAGAAAGCGGGCCCCGGGGCCAGTGAGGACCCTTATTACGTGGCCACAAACCTTTAACAATGCCGTTTTACACATTTCAGGTTCCGGCTCCACTGCATCTCACTGTAAAAAACAAACAAAAAAAAAAGAGTAGCCGCCTTAAATCAAGTACAATCAACTTAGATGTTTGAGTCATTTCAACTTAAAGTCCATTAAACAGACTTAATAAATAATGAAGCTCTCAATTTATTGATTTATTTTTTAGAGAAATTTTGTTTTAAGTCTTCTACATAAAATCAATGTGTTTGTAAATATATTTAATGTACAATATTTTATAATCTAAAAAGTCTAATATCACATTGAGGGTCTGAGATTTTAAATGTAATTTAAACCTGAAAATAAACCAAGTTGTAGGAATTTAAAAATGTTAAGCAAAGAAACGTTATGATGTCAATTTATGAACAATAATTCAGATGCTGCATTGTTTCCAGCTCTCTATCGCACAAACAAACCTGAACTCCCCTGTATACAGATGGTCTTGAGCTCCTGATGTTGTTTAGATCGTCTCAAATCATGCTGGGAAACACGATCATCAGGTTTGACAAACTTCTTGATATTAAGGCAAACCTAATACTAAGACATTCTAAACATTTTACATTACATTTTTTTACACAATTGCTTAGATTGATAAATAAAAATGTGTATTAAAAAAAAAAAACTATTTCATCTCTGACTTTTGGATCCTGCTGGTCCGAATACATAATCTAGTACACAATATTTCATCCTGTTACAAATGAAAGAATAACCTCGATTGAGCAGTATTAAATATTTTATTAAACTCATCCGTTTCTTAAATTAAACTTTTAAGTGCTTCAATACACTGAGAAAATGACAAAACAGGTTAAGGTGGGGAGGGGGGAGAAATCGTGTATAAATTACAGTATAAAAAAGCAAACAAGCAAAGAAACACAACAACAAAAATGAAGAAATCATAACATGTCAGCTACCGGAAGAAGTCTTCCACTTTATGCATTGAAAAATACGAAACATGAAAACCCGACGGATGAGGTAACTCGTCATTCTCCCTAAATTAAACAAGGGCTTCAGTTTATTCTACTTCATTCCCCACTATCTTTTTATTTACAAAACAACAGAATATGAGTCAAACTCCACCATTAAACCAGATTATCTTCTGGGAAAAACAAAAAATCACTGAATGTGTCCAAAAAGGTAAAATCCTGAAAATGAAACGTTTTGTGTATGACAAGTCCGCTTTTTTTTCAGTGCGCTAATGCTAATATACAGTTACTGGAAAACCACTAGGAATGACTCACTACTGATTGACGGCTTCGATGGAGGTCTGATGACTGTCTTCATTTGTACCCTAAACCCCCTCCAGGACAGTTTTGCATTGTGGAATATACATTAGGTTTCAATGTCAATGTGTGTAATGTGCTTCTGTAAATGACTGCACTCCTCCGCTCACTCCTCCTGCTTCTTGAGGAAGAACTGAAGTGCGGAGTCCCACAGGTCTCTGGGGAAGCGGTTGGACAGCTCGCAGTAGTTCAGAGGAGCCCAGCCCTTCTCTGATGGGGAAAGATCAGAGGTTTAGCACTGACACAGGAAGTAAAGCATTGAATCAATGCCAGACAGAAGGAGCCTTTTGTGAGCAATAAAATTCTTAACTAATGCACTTTAGAACAGAATATGGGGATTTCTGGATTCATTTCACAATTGTAAATATTTAGACAGTTAATCTAATTTAAAATGTATATTTAAGCGTAATTTAAATATGTCTAAAGCTGGATATCATCAGTCGTGTATGCAAAGCTATATTGAGATTTCATATGGATGACTTGGTTTTCATTAAATTTGCTGAATATAGTCCTCACCTGGCTGTGAAGCTTTGCTGTCCGATTGGTTCTCATTGGTGGCACAGTCCTGGATTACACAAAATTAACAGATTTGATCATTTATTCCATTTGGTGACGCTCGTGGAGCAAAACATTCTCTTATCCCAGATAGATATTCACTATGGAAGCTTGTTTCCACCACTGAATTAAAAATAAAAGAGGTAATTGCGAATTTTTATTTCACAATTCTGACTTTTTTTCTCTCACAATTGCGTGATATAAACTCGTAACTGCAAGTAAAAAGTCATAATTGCGTGATATTAAACTCGTAACTGCAAGTAAAAAGTCAGAATTGCGTGATTTAAACTCGTAATTGCAAGTAAAAAGTCAGAATTGCGTGATATAAACCTGTAACTGCGAGTAAAAAGTCAGAAATGCGTGATAAACTTGTAACTGTGAGTAAAAAGTCAGAATTGCTTGATATAAACTCGTAACTCCGAGTAAAAAGTCAGAAATGCGTGATATAAACTCGTAACTGCGAGTAAAATGTCAGAATTGCGTGATATAAACTTGTAACTGCGAGTAAAAAGTCAATTGCGTGATAGAAACTCGTAACTGCGAGTAAAAATCTGAATTGCGTGATATAAACTCGTAACTGCAAGTAAAAAGTCATAATTGCGTGATATTAAACTCGTAACTGCAAGTAAAAAGTCAGAATTGCGTGATTTAAACTCGTAATTGCAAGTAAAAAGTCAGAATTGCGTGATATAAACCTGTAACTGCGAGTAAAAAGTCAGAAATGCGTGATAAACTTGTAACTGTCAGTAAAAAGTCAGAATTGCTTGATATAAACTCGTAACTCCGAGTAAAAAGTCAGAAATGCGTGATATAAACTCGTAACTGCGAGTAAAATGTCAGAATTGCGTGATATAAACTCGTAACTGCGAGAAAAAAGTCAATTGCGTGATAGAAACTCGTAACTGCGAGTAAAAATCTGAATTGCGTGATATAAACTCGTAATTGTGAGGATAAAAGTCAGAATTGCGTGATATAAACTCATAACTGTGAGTAAAAAGTCAGAATTGCGTGATATAAACTCGTAATTGTGAGAAAAAAGTCAGAATTGCGAGATAAAACTACAAAAGTCCGAATTGCAGGAAAAACATCAGAATTGAGATTTATAAACGCGCAATTGCGAGAATATAAATCAACTGCGAGAAAAAAGTCAGAATTGAGAGTTTAGTTCTTGCAATTCTGAGGGAAAAAAAAGTAAAAAAAAAAAAATTGCTATTATCTGTAAAAATGTGGCAAAAAATTCAGTGGCGGAAACAAGCTTCCGTAATTCACATACAACTAAAAGTAAATAATTTGTATAATGATTCCCCTGAAAAGTGAAACACTGTGCATTTAGGGGCAGGACAACGGTGTTTCGACCAATGGAAGATGAGATAGGTGTTCAGAGAAGTCTGATTGAAAAATGGTTCAGTTTTTGGCCATTCAAATTATTACAAACTTCCGATAAAATTATTTAAAGACCAAATTTCCTTTCTATTAAGTTTTGGATAAGTGGATAAAACTTTTTGTCAATCTAAGCAACTGATGTCACGTTGCAGGACATCGTCAGTCTTTCCATTGTTTGAATAAGATGACAATGCGCTGTCTTTGTTGGAGTAAGAGCTAATCTCTCTGTAAGTAATGGCAGCGGCGAGCCAGTGTGGAGAGCGCTGTCGGGAAGAAGATGAAGGGAGAGGGTGTTTACTGGAGGCTCAAGTAGTGGCAGGTAAATCCACTCAAACAGACAGAGGAAACCATCCATCTGAGCGAAGGAAGCTGCTTCTTTTAGGGGGGTGTTGGGGCACTAGAAACTAAAAGGTCATGGGTTCGATTCCCAGGGAATACACCAATAACTTAAATTCACTCTAGTCGCTTTGTGTATAAGCCAAATGAATACGTTTACAATGTAATTGTACCTCACAATTCTGTCCTTGTTTCTAGCAACTGAGTAAAACAAAGAAAGAATTGCGTAGTATAAAGTCGCAATTGCAAGTTATAAAGTCAGACTTGGGACATATAAACACGCTATTGCGAGAAAAACAGTCAGAATTGTGAGATAAAGTTTGTTTTTTTAATCAGTGGTGGAAACAAGCTTCCATAATTCATGTACAACAACAAGTAAACCATTTGTATAATGATTCCCCAGAAAAGTGAAACACCTGAAACACCTATGTTGTTTTGACCAATGGAAGATGGGATAAGTGTTCAGAGAAACTTGTTTGAAAAATGGTTATTTTTAATTACTGTGTTTCGATTTATAACTGTTCTAAAATATGCTATATGTTCGCTAGGATATGAGAAAGTTATTTTAAAATTTTGTAACACATACATTAAATTTTATTGATGAATCCATTAGGAACATATCTGCAAAGGTTTCTTGAGTAAAACTTAAGTTGTGTCCATCCATCGAAATACCGCATTTTTGCGAATAAACTGCTGCTTTAATCCCATGTGTTGCGAGACTTATTCAGTAAATGTGTTTCCAATCACCAAATTATTGTGCATTTGCAAACTGCAGTTCGTGTGAACACACAGGAATCGAGTTTGAGGACGTGAGTTGCATGAGTGATGGTGTGTATGAAGGTGCGATTTACCTGTATGAAGGTGGCCAGCAGCACACAGCTCATTTCCTGTTGGAGGATGACCTTGTTCTGCAGGTTATTGTAGCAGGCGCAGATGAGCGAGGGGAAGAGCACTTTGATGAGTCGCGGGTGGCTGAAATACTGGAACGGCAGCTGACACAGTTTCTGCAACACGCTGGGCTGGCGGCCAGACTGCACATTCACCTGGAACACACACAGTGACAGTGTGTGAGCACACACGCAACCAGTGAGGCCAAAGCCACAGCCAGCTGTAAATCAACCCGCCCCTCTCTGCCCGTCCCACACGTAAATCTGCCACTAAAACAACACACAAACAGCCATTAAGAGGAGAAATAGAGGGCAGTGCCTCCCAGCGCACAATTACACTCCATAAAACACAGACAGGGATGCCTCATCCACTTCTGCTGAGCGTGTACGCTGAACACACACAGGTTCAGATTTGCCCCAAGGGAGGACACACTTTGAGTGTACAGTACGTTCCAAAACCTAGTGAGCTCCCTCGCTCGCTATCCACTTCCTACCTAGGCAGCATCAAAATGGATATACAGTGATGTGAATAAGTTTGGACACCCATGCTAAAGTTGCCTAAAAAGAGGAATAAAAAAAATCATCTTTTGGATATTGATCTTAATGCCTTAATTAGAAAAATGAGGAAAACTCCAACCTTTAAGGACACCAATTTTCTTTGTGAATGAATAATGTATCATAAATAAATAAATGTTTTTCCTTAAAATACAGGGTGCATAAGTCAGGACACCCCTATGTTAAATTCCCATAGAGTCAGGCAGATTTTTATTTTTAAAAGCCAGTTATTCCATGGATCCGGGATAATATGCATCCTGATAAAGTTCCCTTGGCCTTTGGAATTAAAATATCCCCACACACACCATACACACCGTTTTACTTCAGTTAGCCTAATAGCTGGTTTGATTTGCATTGAAAGGTGATCTTATGGAAAGTACCCCATGCCAATCTCTAAGTGTGGTGGAAGTTGTGTGATGATGTGGGTCTATTTTAATTCCAAAGGCCAAGGGAACTTTATCAGGATGCATATTATCCCGGATCCATGGAATAACTGGCTTTTAAAAATAAAAATCTGCCTGACTCTATGGGAATTTAACATAGGGGTGTCCTGACTTATGCACCCTGTATTTTAAGGAAAAACATTTATTTATTTATGATACATTATTCATTCACAAAGAAAATTGGTGTCCTTAAAGGTTGGAGTTTTCCTCATTTTTCTAATTAAGGCATTAAGATCAATATACAAAATATGATTTTTTTATTCCTCTTTTTAGGCAACTTTAGCATGGGTGCCCAAACTTATACACATCACTGTGGAACCTCATAAGTGACCAATTTGGAACATTCTAAATAGGTAGTAACTCACGTTGCACAAATTGCGCACAGGAGACTCAATTTGGAACTGAATTCAACCTCTTGCTATGTCAATCGTCTCAGTCCCAGACGCCCACGGACCGCTGGCTGAACGTCTTATGGCATATGGCACAAGTAACTGGAAACATTTCAGGATTTAAGAAGTCATCATTTGATGTCCGGGAGACGCGTGTGTCGTGTTGCCAACCGTGATGCCAAACCCCCCCATGGAAGAAGAATGCCGTTGTGTTTACAACGGTGACAATGAGCGCTTATCAGGATCAACTGAACTCTCGATTTTCAAAAATATATGAAGTATGAAAAATTTGCGGCATAGACTTAAGTCCAAAGTTTTACACACCGGCCTGTTATTGTAGCGACACCAATGTTATATTCTAACGCCCCTAAACATGACGTGGAACAAAACAAACTGTGATTGGTTGCTTTACATGTCGGTAAGACGGCCTCTGGGCAGTCCTTGGCCAATGAAAGCTGGAGTCCAGACCTTCTGCCATCAGTCTGAAAATCTGGCTATGCAAGACTATCAGATGCCAAAACAACAAACAGAACCAAAAGACACCACCGAAAAAAATCTCCATTCCCGAAATATCATAATGGCCAAACCGTGATTCATCTTTATGAATTGTTAAAATATGTGTGTCCAGGATGCGATATGAATAAATAATGCACATAACTGGCTGATGAAATAGTATTCTCAATTAAAGCAAGAAGATTTTTTTTCTTACATCACGACAGAGTTTGGCGGTAGCATGTTGCTATGCTAACAGATTCATATTTTGACAAGTTAAAAAAAAGCACGGAAATTTTTCGAAGTACACCTTTGCGTTGGAAGGAAACAATGATAGCCTTCATATGTACCCAGTGTTGTAGTCGAGACCACCTCACTCGAGTCCGAGTCGAGTCCGAGACCAGAGACGGTCGAGTCCGAGTCGAGACCGAGACCAGTGAGGGTTGATTACCTAATTTACTTTTATTTACTTAGAGAAATCCTTTTTTTTTTAACTGAATTTTCTTAGAGTTTAAAAAATATGATCAGTTTAGGGTAAAAAGGCCACATAGTAGGTGGTGTTAAAAGTAATTTTATTACAATTTGTCATGCGCAGTTGCGCACTAGAAAATCACCAATCACTGGGCGTGTCAATCAATTTAAAGAAATATTTTATTAACATACATTAATAATCATGAAAAATATTTTGAATTGAACTCGAGTGGACTCGGGAATAAGTCTGAGTCCTAAAAAAAAAAAAGTTTGAGTACGAGTCAATTCCGAGTCCAAAACAAGACCAAGACCATTAAAATATGGTCTCGAGACCGAGTCCGAGTCTCGAGTACTACAACACTGTATGTACCTACGAAGATATTTGACAAAACGACAGGAAACTGACAAATGTTGGTCAAGTCACTGCAACCTCTCGTCACAACCTTTGAGAACCATCTATTCTATATTAAGGTCCATAACATGCTGAGATGCATGTTTGTCGGTCAGGTTTTGGAGTTGAACCTTGTGCAAAACATGCAAACAAGCCCAGTTCCACTTTAATAAATGAAGTAATACCAGTAATGGTGTTCGTACCGGGTGTATAGCCCTCATTTATCACTGCCTTCAATCACACCGTCAAAATCGGCCCACCCCTTAGAATTAAAACCAAATCACAGCAGGCCTGGACTGATTAAATGCAGTGCCTGTGATGGGAAAAAAACGAGGCACAGCCCCTAAATGCTACAAGCTTCCGACCGGGTTGGGAAGCCTGGGAAGGCCCTCAGCTCCCGGGAAGGGAACCAGAGAGTTGGGAGGTCAGCACAGTAAATCCTGACTAGAGGGATTTGGGGGAGAAAGATGAAGAGAGGGAGGGGGCGTTAAACAGTCCCTATTACAGGTACACACATCCGTCCATTGCTGCTCGGCCCCAAATGCAAACCATAAGGGAGGGGAGTGACATTCCCAGGGAAAAGGGTGACATAAATTACCAGGATTTACAAGATTTTAAAAATACAATACTCTTTCCATCGCATTCTCTACTTTAATAATACCCCTCGAGGGTTTAAGTGCATGACAAACAAAGTGATAACTCACTACTTTTATCATTTAAAAGGTGAAGTGCCTTAAACTGTTGTTCTACAGCAGTGTTCAAAGGCTTGAGGTCCATGTCACTCTGAATCAGGAACTGTTTAAAGATGCCTGACCAAAACAAGAAAAGCAAACCACAGTGGAGCACTTTAATTCTGAAGACTAGTCCCGGATTGTCCGGCCTCAGATGACCAACGTTTCAGAAGCTTTTTGCAGGGCTGAAATTAATGCTCTCGCTCTGCTACTACGGAACAAATGGTGCAAAACATCTGGTTGTTTTCAGCGTAGGAGCTGCGTAGTGTCAGAACGGTGGGTGAGATGAAGGAGGGTCTTTTTTCGGCCAAACGCAGAGAGTACAGAATCAATCTCTCCCATCAGTTCTGGACAAGACTAGGGAGTGGTAGAGATACTGATGTATTGCTTATCATTCATGAGACTGGTAAAAATTACAATGCTGCAGACAGATCGGGTACCCTTTTACCTCATGGACCCTTGGCACCTTCAATGGATATTCAGATCCTTGGACCGATTAGATTACTTATTATACAACAAGCTGATATCATGCAAGGTAAATGCAAATGAATGTGAAGAACTTCTCATAAGATGTTCTATCAGTGAAACGATTGGGAAGTTACTATAACACATCATAGTTGAGTTGTCAGTTTGTTGGTTTGCTGCCTTAAAGGAGAACTCCTGTCGTTTTTAACATTGAGCTCATTTTTTTGTATATTTGGAGTGCTGTCAGTACAGACAAAAACAACAAAAATGGGTGTTGCCTACACGTGTTATCGTCTTTTTAAAATTCGCACCCTGTTGACGTCAATGGGGCATGTTCTAAACCAGCTTTTAGCCTCTTAACATCCTTGATTTTTCATTACGAGTGCACAGCCATGTGAGTGGTGTTATTAAGAGTGACCACGGTCAATCTGACTGCAGTAGATGTGAAAATGATGTTAATTCAGCCAGCTCACATACCTCTATTTGCTTCCTGTTTTTGGTCGAAGCCCACAGTAGTCGATTGTCGAGTTCACACGTGCGATCATTAGTGAATAATATCATCTCAAACCTCCTCCGTGTGTTCAACATCTGAGAATATCAGCTCAAATGGATAGTTCATCCGAATCAGAACACCACACAGTGTTGGGTTTGAGATGATATTCGCCAATGATCGCGCGCGTGAACTCGACAATCGACTACTGTGGGCTTCGACCGAAAACAGGAAGCAAATAGAGGTATGTGAGCTGGCTGAATTAACATCATTTTTATTAATGGCTGTGCACTCGTAATGACAAATCAAGGACGTTAAGAGGCTAAAAGCAGGTTTAGAACATGCCCTATTGAAGTCAACAGGGTGCGAATTTTAAAAAGACGATAACACGGTGTAGGCAACTCCGATTTTTGTCGTTTTTGTCTGTACTGACAGAACTCCAAATGTACAAAAAATGAGCTCAATGTTAAAATTGACTAGAGTTCTCCTTTAAAATCAGTATTTATGAATTTAAACAGTTCCGACTGTTATCTGCGTTTTGTTCTACATGTAAACACACTCAATGGGCTTCATTAATAAAACAAGCAGAACAAATTTGTGTTTAAATCATTCCTTCCCAACGTGAGAGAGTACAAGTGCGTGTCCATCTGTGGTGGTGGTGGTTTAGTGGACATTCCCGCCCACAAATCACACAGCCATCTCATAATCCGTCAGCATGCGGTGCTTCAT